CGACAGGATAATATGCAGCGGTAATCAGCAGACGTTATAACTTCATGGAATACACATTATGAGTGAATTCTCAAACTAATGCCATGTTAGAAAGGGGCTTCGTAAACACGAATCTCCGAAGCTTCGAAATCTCACGAGTCTCACGTGGCGAATCCTCAATATACTACCATGATGGAAAGACTTTGTAAACATGATTATCGTCTTGGAATTTGGAATTTAACGGTCAATTCTATACAAGTTGGAAAGCTCTTTGTAATGGCCAACAGTTAAAACAAATAAATACGCTACGGATCAAAGCCATATAGCATTTATAAACTTAGGTCTTATTCGCTTCTCTCTGACCTGAATCTTTGATATTTCGAGAGTATCACGGACGAATTCTCAACATAATGCCATGTTGGAAAGTCTTTGTCAACACAATTTTCGTCCTTATGCAGTGACCTACAGGAGAGCATGGAAATCATACTAAGGACGAATTCTCAACATAATGCTATGCTGGAAAGTCTTTGTAAACACGATTCTCGTCCTTATGCCGTGACCAAGAGAATGGGAATCGTATTACGGACGAATTCTCACCGCAATGCCAAGTCCCTTTCCGGACGCTCGAACCTGCCACGACCTCAAGCCCGGAAAACTTGTGCGCTGAATCCTCTTGAAGCATTTTGAAAACTAAGTAGGAAAAAAAAAATCTTTTTTCTTTTTTGTAAACGACCCAAAACGTCTCAAGCCTTTTGAAACCCAAGGAAACATTTTTTTACGTACACCACCTAAAACATCCCAAGCCGTTTGAAAACCAAGTAGGTTTTTTTTTTTCGTAAGCCACCCAAAACATCCCAAGCCTTTTGAAAAGCAAGTAGGAAAGAATTTTTTTCTTTTTTTCGTAAACCACCCAAAACGTTCCAAGCCTTTTGAAAACCAAGTAGGAAAAGATATTTTTTTTTGTAAACCACCCAAAACGTCCCAAACATCCCCCCCCCCCCCCCACCACCCTCCGACTTCTAAAACGTTTCCTTTCCACGGCCTGCTACCCATCCAACCTGTAAAACATCCCCCCCCCCCTCCGGCCTGTAACCCCACCTCTGACCTGTAACCGCCCCCCCTACCCACCCAATCCCCGTCCTCACCTGACGAGCGTCGGCTGCAGGTCCAGCGCCCTGTTGCCCACGCTGTTCGGCCGCGAGATCGGAGCGCCGAACTCCAGCAGGTCGAGCACGCTCTCCCAGGCGACGTTCATCTGGCAGGCGGCGATGTGCAGCGGGGTGTTGCCCAGGGCGTCCGTGATGCCGGGGGACGCGCCGTACTTGAGCAGAAGGTACGTGATGGCCGAGTTGCCCCGCGCCGCCGCCAGGAACAGCACGGGCAGGGTGTACAGGTAGTCTCGGGTGTACAGGTCGGCGAAGGTGAGCCTGGCCCCCTCGGCGCTCGTGTAGGTGATGAGCCTCTCCTTCGGGACGTCGGGGTTCAGGACCAGGAGTCGCGCCCCGGCAGGGTGGGACCCCCCGGCCCCCGCCGAGTGCGGCGCCCCCGGCCGAGCGCTGGAGGGGCCCCTGGCCATGCCGCCCTGCGTGGCCGAGTGGGGCGGGTTACCGTCCCACGTGCACGGGTGGATGTCCGAAAAGGTGAAGTAGCGCGGCTCGGAGCGGTCCCTCTCGCCCCGGGGCTCCGCCAGCCGCGTCGTGCTGTTCTCCGTCGAGATCACCGGCCGCGGCACCACCAGCCACGACGCCGACCCGGGCATCGACAGCCGCACTTGCTGTGGCGGGAAGGGCGGGTCAGCAAGGCCCTCGGATTCTGTGCCCACTTTATGTCTATCTATCTATCTATATGGCGATCTGTCTATTAATATCTATATTTAATCATCTAACAACGTCTTATCTATATGGCGGTCTCTCTATTAATATCTATATTTAATTATCTAACAACGTCTTATCTATATGGCGGTCTGTCTATTAATATCTATATCCATCTATCTAACATCTGTATCTATCGATCTATCTATCAATATCTATATATACTGACGTATATCTATCGGTCTATTATACCTGCATCGATATTTATCAATCTATTTATCTATATCAATGAATTTATCTATTCTATCGATCTGTCTATCTATATCTACCTGTTTATCAGCCTATCTATATCTATCTGTTTATCAGCCTATCTATATCTATCTGTTTATCAGCCTATCTATCTATCTATCTATTCTTATCTGTTTATCTGTCTATCTATGCCTATCTATTTATCTATCCATCTGTTGCCTATCTGTTTATCTGTCTATCTATCTACCTACCTACCTATCTATCCATCTACTTCTATAAGTATTATGATCCTAAATGCTTTCGAAAATTCAACAAAACCTGCCTCCCAATTAACTAACTGCAGGAGTTCTCGGCAAAATGCTTTCAGTAAAATAGGTGTAAATGAGATTCTGAATCAGAATTACGCTTACATGTAATTCTGACGAAAGAATGAATTGAAAACACACTAATTGCATCAAATGCTTTGTGAAGTTATTCATGCTCATTTACACCTTTTCAACATCTGCCACAGTGCATTCAACGAAATGCAATTCAGTCTCGTTTCTCTTTAAGATAACATACGGGCTCACAGCGTAAACCTACTCCTGAAAGACAGACGATATGGAAGCACCTGTTTCATCATTGTCATATTTACATTTACTGCAAATATTAAGGAATAGAAGAACAAGAAAAAAAGGTAAAAGAAAAGAGGTAAAAATAAAGAGAAAAAGAAATGATTCTCGCTAAAAGCTTCGTCTGACCTACTGGCTGACGAGCGAGAATGACCTCTGGTTTATCACTGTGAGCTTTATATTTACTGCAAATAGAGGTAATGAGGGCATAAAAAAAGAAAAGAAAAGCAAAGAAAAACAAAGAAAGGCAAAGAAAAGCAAAGAAAGGCAAGGCAAAGCAAAGAAAAGAAAAGAAAAGAAAAGAAAAGAAAAGAAAAGAAAAGAAAAGAAAAGAAAAGAAAAGAAAAGAAAAGAAAAGAAAGAAAAGAAAAGAAAAGAAAAGAAAAAAAAGAAAAGCAAAGCAAAGAAAAGAAAAGAAAAGAAAAAAAGAAAAGCAAAGCAAAGAAAAGAAAAGAAAAAAATAGAAAAGCAAAGAAAATCAAAGAAAGGCATAAAAAAGGAGAGAATTCGTTAAAAAGCGGAAGGCGAGCCCCGGCGCCTGACCTGCTGGCTGTCGAGCGAGAAGGACTTCTGGTTTATCACTTTGAGTTTTACATTTACTGCAAATAGAGGTAATGAGGACATAGGAAAAGAAAAGCAAAGAAAAGCAAAGAAAAGCAAAAAGGGAGAGAATTCGGCGCCTGACCTGCTGGCTGTCGAGCGAGAACGACCTCTGGCGCTGGAAGGTGACCTCGCTCGACTTAACGACGGACGAGTGCCTCCGCTTGTAGGCCGGCTTGTCCCTGGTGGCGGCGGCGTTGTCGGTGACGCCCGGCACCCACGACACCCGCCGCGTCGACACGTCCTTCCGCGTCTCCTTCATCTTCTCGTCTTTGTCCTTCTCGCGCTCGCGGAACACGTCCTTCTTGGAGTCGTCCTTGATGATGCTCTTGCTCTCGAGGGCGCCCGGCGACCGGCTCTCCTTCTTGCTCCTGTCCTGCGCGCCGCCGCCCGCCGCCCCTCCTCCTCCTCCGTTGCCTCCTCCTTCTCTCGTCCCGTCACTCGAAAGCACTAATCTGGATCTATCCTCACTAGAATTGGCCCCGTTTTTTGCGGATTTCGTAAAATATAACTGTTTCTTATTATTATCTATTTTGCCGTCAGTTCTAACATCTAGGTGGAAATCTAACCTACTGTCTTTCTTTCCCGGGGAAGTCACTGGGCCGCCGTCGTCGCCCCCCCCGTGCCCGGTGCCACCCCCCCCTCCGACGCCGGCGGTTCTGGACGGCTCGGGCGCGCGCTTGGGCACGCGCACTTTGCTGCGCTCGTCCTCGCCGCCGCCGCCGCGCAGGCTCTCGCCCTTGCTGATGCCCAGCTGCTGCATCTGCTGGCGGAAGCCCTGCGGCCGCAGGCGCACCTCGGGGTCGGAGTAGGGCACGGGCGGCGGGACGAAGTGCAGCGGGGAGGCGGCCCGGGGCGACGACGGGCGCGAGCAGAAGGACCTCGGGGAGCCCGAGCGGGGCGAGCAGCGCGGCGAGCCTCGGGGGGACGCCCTTGGGGAGCCTCTGGGCGACGCCCTGGGCGAGGCCCTCGGGGACGCCCTCGGGGACGCCCTCGGGGACGCCCTGGGCGAGCAGCGCGGGGAGGGCGAGCTGATGTAGTGGCCCGTGAAGCTCCTGCGGTCCACGCTGAGCACGCTGGTGGGGGACACGCGGGGGGAGGGGCGGGCGCGGGCCCCGTGCAGGCCCCCGCCCCCCACCGACCCCCCGCCGCCCAGGTTGACCAGGCCCCCCCGGTTGGGCTCCACGCCGTAGCGCAGCAGCAGCCTCACCACGTCGGCGGCGCTGTAGTCCACCGCCAGGTGCAGCGCGTTGGTGAACACGCCCGGGATCGCGTTCTCGTCGCTGCTCGCCTCGCTCCGGTGGTCGTACCTGCGGGGGGAGAGGTCTTAGGGGCGCACGACACGCGCCCGGGCCGAGGGGCCGGGCGCGTGTCTCTCTCTCTTCCTCACTCCTTCCCTCACTCTCTCTCTTTCATTCTCTCACTCTCTATGTTTGTATAAACGTAAATATACATATCCATTCTTTGTTATTTAATAGAATAACAACAACTTTATCTTTGTTATCTTAATAAAAAAAAACTTTCATCTTCGTTATCTTAATAAAAACAACAACTTTATCTTTGTTATCTTACTAAAGAAAAAAAAACTTTATCTTTGTCATTTCAATCAGCAATAAAAACAACTCAGTAGCGACCCTCACCTGTCAATGAGCGTCTGGGACTTCCTGAGGAGGATTTCGACATCCTGAGACACGCAGCGGCTGCCGGTGTCGCAGGAGGACTTGTCCAGGATGCTGCCGTGGAGGTCGAT